CAGCAGGAGTTTCAACATTATGTGAAAAGGTGCAGAAGCAAGTTTGTAACTGCTCTAATTGGTGGCAGAGGTATACAGCTACCTCCTTTTTCCTGAAAACCTGCTGTACAGTGGTCTGGACCACATGCTGGACCATTTTCAAAGAGAAGGTCTTAAAGCTAGACATAGGCACAGACTTCATTTCTCATAAATTCATTTATTAAGTAAAGCACTTCATTGCTATTTGTTAAATCCTCCAGGAGCTGACAAAAATCACAGATGCTTGAAGTGACTACTCTGACTGTGTCTTTCAGAGGTCCCAACCACAAAGAGGTGCCAACCGTAATGGCAATTCTGTTCTGGTTGGAGTCAATAGTCCCAGACCAGGAAGGTGATCTGTCTTTCTGTCTGTTTTTCTTTTGCTGTGTCATCATCAATCACTACAGTTAGGATATTAGTAATTTACATGGGAAATTATCTCAAAGAATGATTGATATACGGTTTTCACAGCAGTTTTCATTTCGTTTTCATTAAAGCTTTTTAACAGATAAGGAGTAATCCAAATACTTGCCCTCGACACAGTCAAATATAGTACAATTTTGCATCAGGATGTTAACTTTGCTGTTTGTTTCCAACTTTACTTTTAGTTTCTCCTGTAAGTCTCACAACCTCTTGCAGAGGGTAACCCCCACAAAACTCCAGGCAACAAGCTTCGGAGGCTGTGACGTCAAATGCTAAAGCAAGAGGCAAGGTTAGGATGTCAGAGAAAATAGAAGGATTATTTTAAGATCAAACTGGCTAAAAGCTAATTGTAGGACAGACCCAGAGGTGCCTTCACAGCTCAATATACACTTGTCTGCCTATTATTATAGATTTTTTTAATCATCAATGCTCATTGCTAATTAGGGTTTAATGAATTCAAGGACTTCAGGAATGCATTCTGAAATGAGCACAAGGCACGCTCACAGCAGAGATATGTCTGGGCCAGCAGATACTTCTCAACTTATTAAGGAAGGATGTCTTGCATGCTCTTGAGAGCATGGTTTATTCTGCAACTCAATATTTAAAAAAAGAAAGCAATTCATCTAATTCAGTCCTTTATTCACTATTAGAGAGACCACAGGCAAATTAAGAGATGAAAACACTGTCCATCACGTAAATGAGACCATTCTAATTCTGCATCTTTCCCCAATTCCTCCTCCCATCCACTACATGGCATAGGGGTCACAAAGAGTTGCGTACATGGTATATATCATTTTCCGGCACAGAACGTGCCGCATACGGTATTCCCACCATATGCCACCAGCTATGCTATACAGCAACGCCTTTTTAACCCTGCAATTTCTGTGCTATTACAGAAGACTAAATTTTCCCCCCATTTCAGGCCTGACTCACTGGGCTCGACATGGAACAGCTCTGCGGAGCGAGGAGGAAGGAGCTCTCCTCCTCCCCAGCTCGGGGGCTGGCAGCAGCAGCAGAAGCAGCCTTGAAATGCTGATCACTCTTGCCACTTTTTGTGGAGGCGTCAGTGAGAAAACAGCTAATGGCTGGTGAGGAAATCAACAGAGAAGAGGCAATTCTCCTCATTTTGCTCATCTCTGCTTTTTTGTGCCCAATTTAAAAAACCTGCTGGGCAGAGTGGGCCCAGAGAGCTGATTCCAAAATGCTCTCTTTTTGGAAAGTATAATTAGGCAGGTATTCTGAGGTCTTCTATACACAGAGGAACATTCATCACCCACCTTATTTACCAACTACCTTCTATAAAATGTCTTTCTCCCCCAAGTTATTTATCTGAGCAGAGCTACTGCCTTATTCTCTGCAGACAAGAACTCAGTGTTTGGAGCTGACAGGCTACAGGTGCATTTTCAAACTAAGCGCAAAAGCCAAGGCAAGAGCAAGAAACAAGTTTGTTTGTTCAGAGATGATACCAGTTTACCCTGCCACTGCCAAAATGAGGCACTCCTTGGTGGAAGACTGGATTCCAAGGTCAAAAGATCTTTCCCATGCAAAAGCTGTCTTCATTGTTACTGGACGGCTGCAGGGATGATCTGGACTACGAGAGGGAAAAGGAGCAGCTCTCTGCTCTGCAGAACAGGAACTTAGGTTAAGCGAAGATGCTCCCTCTAAATAGCACCAGGAAGGCCATAAATGCTTTTAGTGAAACACACCGCCTATGGCGAAGTCCTAACAGGAGAAAATGCAATCCCAAGGCAGCGTGCATAAGGGGGTTTGCACCCACAGGGATTATTTTCACTGTGTCTGACACGTTTCCCAGTGATATTCAATTAGAGGGTCACCTCCGTAGGAGGTGTGAACGTGCTTTCACGCTTTTCTCTGCCAATGGAAGCACCTCATAGGAAAGCTGTAAAGTGACTGAAGACTCCTGCTCTCCCTTCCACACGCTGCCAGCAAATCACTCTGCCTGTGATGCCTTGTTTTTGTGTGCACATTCACGTATTCATCTTCAGAAGAGCCCCTTTCACTACCAAAGTAAGGAACAAGTCAAGGCTACCCCTCTGCTTCCTGTGACACTTTGATTAAGGAGAGAAAATTTGTCACTCCAGGACCTAGCCACCCGGGAGGCTTCCTCAATTCAGTGTTTATGTTTAAAATCCAACATCAATTTAAACAAAAAAAGACAGCTTCTAGGGGACACCAAACACTGTTTATTTTGATCAAGATTTTTCAGAGAATTTATCTACTTTGTGAGGGACAAAACCTAATTTTGATAAGGAGAGAGAAAAATTATTCTGTCTTCCAACTCTACACACAGATTCCTTCTCTGCCTGTCCTATTTGTAGGAAAGAGAGCAAATCCCAAAGTAAGGTTTTCACTGAAAGACTAGAATACCTCAAAGCAGGAAAAAATCCACAATTGTTTCTCATTTGAATTACAGAGAAAAAATCCAACAATTTTTCATCAAAGATGTTTCAGCATAAAAAAACACTGTCCTGCTGCTTTGAAAACAAGGAGTCACTCCAGGGCTGCCACACTTTGTCAACTATTATAAGGGTAGTCTGAAATGAAGTGCAAGATCTCTCATTGCAACTTAAATCCAGATCCTTCACTCCTTGAAAACGACTTGGTAAAATGACTTTACCAGCCTCAAATAAAGGAACAGCCAAGCAAATCAGTGAAGTCTGGCAGCTTTGGTGCTGATAAACCCTTGGTGGGTCAGACTGATATGCAACTTGATCTTTAGATGACTGGGAGTTGTACAATAGCTTGAGCAGAAGCATGAGAAATGGAAGAACATCCCAATCGTATTTAGAAAGCCATTGCCTTTAAGGTGCCTGTCAGAGTGATCTACACAACTTCCTAGCCACTACTCCATGGGATCAACTCTAGCAGCTACTTGCATGCATTGTCCATGTGTGACACTCTCAACCATATGCTAATTGGATCCTATGTCTATCATTTCTCCAGGAAAAGTGATCATCATTGTATCTATAAATACAGACTCAACAGAATTGAAAAGCAAAAGTACTTCTCATGTGTCATACACAGTACCAGATGTTTCAATACTGTCTTTAAGCCCACATAGCCATGGCTCCCAGCTAGACAACACTGGTGTCAGAGTCTGTATTCAACCCCCTAGATCACTGGCAGTTTCTGCCTTCGGTCCCAGTGCCAAAACTTGAGTGGACCGAGCCTTCTTGGTGACTGGGACAAGTCAGTTCAATTCTGGGCACCAGCTTCCTCTCACACCCTTTGCTTTCTAGGACAGCAGTGCCCCTCATGTTCAGACGCTGCTCAAACCAGTGGGAGCCTGGCACACTTGTGGCTACAAGACATAACAGATAGGCATGTAATAATGTGATTCCTCAATTTTGAGAAAACTGCCTAGAAAGGAACTTGGATGGGTTTCTTTTAAGAGACTGAGTCACATAAATTAGGAGAGGAAACATATGCTAGTGTTCTAATACTAAAGATGCCAAAAATGCTGCAGTCACTCACCCAGAGTAACGAGAATTAAAAACTCCCCTGCATCTTGATCCCCAGCCTCCTGCCTTGCCTTTTAAGATGCATGAATGTCAGGGGAGATGTTTCTGGATGCAAATTTTTTGACCACACTTGCACCTTTTACATTACATCTTTTCAGATCCAGAATTTCAGGCTAAGGCAGGCTCTCAGGAAGATTCTTCTAAATTTTTTCATGTTACTGAGAATAATGTAGGAACATTTTTACCAGAAGAAATTCTAGTGTTTCCATGGTTTGGAGCCAGATTTTGAAATGCAAGCAGGGTTTCCCTGAAGTCTTAGGTATGTATCATCTGTGCAAATATATTCTATATATAGAATAACATGCTCTAAAAAACTGATTGCACATACCAAAAGGAAACTCTGCTGTTCAATAGTTGCATGTTTTGGAAATTGCCCTTCAGTTCCTCTCAACTCCAGCCAGACTATAAAAACATGATACTGACTGACAGTACATACATGTGCATGAACTTTTAGGTAAGCAGCTATAGTCCAATTTCCCAACAAGGTAAAAAACCAACTTTGTCCTCATCTACGCTTGAATGCATGAACACTTTTACATGTAATCACAGCTCTTATTTTCGTCTTATCTTTCTTCCACTTTTACAATTTTTCACAACAAAAGAACAGCTCTAATGTTTGTAGATTTACTTTTAGATAATACCTTCAACGACATCTTCAGTTTTTACTGCATTGAACACTCAAAGTTGCAACTAAAGTCAACTGGGGCTCTGCTTTGGGCATATTAAATAAGATACATGTGTGTATGAGTGTGTGCTAGGTACTTTGAGAAATAAAGTCCCAAACATATAAATTTGGGCATCCAAGAATAAACTGACATGGCACAATTTTGACCATCACTACTTTGAACTTTGATTCCTGATTGTACATAGGAGATAGAAGTACCAGCTACAGGATGCTGTGAAGACAGGTTCTGAAACATTGGAACAGTTTCTGGATGCCACATCAAGGCTCTGTGCAAATACCAATGAGGAAACCAGACATTTTTAATTCATCGTAGGAAGTGGATAATGTACATTAAACAAGGGCCTGGAACCATTCTCTGAATGAGATAGTTGCACAGTTATACACTAAATAAGAAAAGTGGCTCTTTGGGGTTAAGGTGAAAAAAACCATAATGTGGTATGTTACATAATTCAGGCTTAATGAAAGCAGGCACTTTTACAAATTTCTCAGTACTTCAATTTGAAGCCTTAACAGATTTTAGATACAGTTTGTATCTAAATAGCCAAACCAGGATCGCCATGAATTGTAAGAATTTCTGTGTCAGGAACATCTCCTTCTCTGCAGGAGATTACAAATCAATATCAATGCTATTGCAGAGGGAAGAAAACAATGCAGCTCATCCCACATACCCAAAGTATGAAGGATTTGGAGATAATATCATTTAGCTAAATATTTTTAGAGCATGTAGCATGACAGAATTAAGATCATCAAACAATAGAGAAGATGCTAAGAGTCCTGCCTAAAAGGATGGACAATACCAACAAAGCTGTGCTCCTGACCACATCCGCAACAACTCAGACATCAAAACAGTTGGCCAAATTTAGCTGAACTCGGAAGAACAACTCTAGGCTTGACAACATGTTGTCCCTGAGTGGTTCATCGACAGCTGCATCTTTCCTTAGAGCAGCTGGCTTCAGCACCTCCTGGGACAGATCCTGGGAGAGAAAACCCTAATCCCCACCTACAGAACAATTCCCGGTTCTTTTATGTAAAACCCTGGAGGAAGATACAAGAGGCACAGAAATGGCTCGGCTCTCTTCAAACAAGCAGCAGATGTCTTTATGCATGAGCAGTGTGTGGGAGACACTCTCCAGCAAATTACAGTGCTACAGGGTCTGGCTCCATGAAATGAGAGATTGGATCCGGAGATTAGAAACAACACATGTGACTCAATTAGCGATACATTGGCTGCCAGACAAGCTCTAGGGCCATTTTCCTTGATCGTGGGTCTTATCTTCAAAACCCAGCCTCCTCCCACACTTCAGTGCTACCATCATGTTCAATGGTAATATTCAACCATCACTACAAATGCCTCTAACTAGAAGGTGTTAACAGTGGGCTTATCTAGTACCTACTCATTGGAATTTGCCATCATTAGAGAACACGCCAAGCATAAGCCATGACTGACACTCCAGTCTCAGCTAACATCCGATTAAAAGCTCAGCTAATCAACATTTTCTGCCATGTGTCCTTTGAGAAAGCCACCGAGTCACCCGTTTCTTCAGAAGTGAAGAAGCAAGAAGTTGATTTTTCCCCTCCAAGTGAAGGAAATTCTGAGGTGTGAGATCGTTAGAAGGGTGTACAATAATTGCAAAAATATCTAGTAGTTCAGAAGGAACTAATAATGACTCGAGCTTCAGCACTGTAATTTCTGGCAGTGTCATGTTCCAGGTCAAGGTCTCCTGTCAAAACAGTCTTTCACCAAATAAAGACAATTTGGAGGGTTGAGCCGTAGTTTTTTGTTTGTTATGTATCACTAATTATGTTTCTGTGGGCAGTGGAAGAACTCAAAGAAGAGTGCTGAAAGGTTTCTCAAGCACATCACAGGCTAGGGAGACAGTTTTAAGACCTGACATCAAAGCCTCCACACTTTACACTACACTGCAGTCATGATAACTGGCTTTCCTCATCTTTCTTTGACATTAACCACGTCAGATACAGCTATTGTTTACATTTCAATTGATCTCTTAACTTCCAGATTTTCACTTTTCACTGTAATATCATGCTACGGTTTTGTTTTATTCCCTTCATACCTTACCTGTTAGTATTCTCCAGGACTTCAACCTTCTTACGCAGCTCACTATTTTCATTTGAACAGGTCTCAACTCTGGAGACAGACAAGCAAACAAAGAGGAATGTAAAGAATCAGTCATTTATTAAAGAGATATTGTAAAACAAACCAAACTTGCTTTCACAGAGAGCTCTATGATCTTGCCTGCATTTAATGAAAAGTTACACTAACAAACTTTAGTCATAATCTTTAATCATACTTCATAGCGTAAAAGACATTGCAAAAGATACTACTAGCTGCGGAGCACCTGCTTACAGTGCTCAACTACATCGCAGTAGGTGCAGCTCATTCAGGATGGGCTGTAACTACTTTTTGCCCCTTGAAATAGCAACAGCAAAGACCCTGCTCAGACTTTCTCTGTGCATTGGGCCATAGGACAGATACTTTAAAAGTCACAGAACATGCTATATTTATGTTGTTAGCAAATATTTTGTGCAAAGGCATTCCTTTGCATTTCATTGCTAGGATAAAGGACCAAGCAATTTAGCAAATGCCATGCTTCTGAAATCATATCCTTGAATGTCAAGTTTATGGAGGCTAATAAGCCAGGAGATTAATTCCCAAGAGAGTCCTCATTTCCACACTGCCCCTGGAAGCCTCCTAAACTAAAGGAGATTATCATACAACATGTCACTTAAGAGGTCCAAGGAAAAATCTGGGACTCCTAAAAAGACAAACATGACTCTCCGGAATAGCTTCAAGAAGGAAAAAGGTAAAGGGAAATAGCTTTGACATCTGTATGCATAGGGCGGAATTTCACAAGAGTAACTCTGAGAAAGCAAGATTCAGCTATAAAGAGATAAGAAGAAAAAAAGGAAATTGCATCAAGGATATCACCAAAGATGGTACAAGGGGTTTAACAAATTCATCTGGTGAAGCACATAAGAGAAATACTAGAATACTTGTCTCTTGGAAGAAAGATTAATTTGGGATATAAATCACTAACTGGGGGTTTGGCTCCTTCTTACTAAGGGAAGTTGACGGGTCACACGCTGTTTTCCTGAGTCCTGCTTATTTTCCCAGGCAGTCTTGACTCACTCACTTCCTATTTCTGACTCCATCTGTACTAGAAGACATAATATATTCACTCTGAATCCACCTTTCCCTGGACACTGCCTACCCACTAGGCCAACAGAGTTGCATGAGGGGGAAGCCAACAGCAGATGGATTTTGCCCTATTTAACGTTTAAAGTCTTTGTCAGCATGTTAACAACGTGTTGCAGGCAGACACAGTTATGAATGCAGCACCCCAGCACATGTACAAGCAGAAGCCAGAAGAAAGGCCTTTTCTCAGTCATAACCACGAGATGGCAGCTGGCACTCTGTGCACAAAACAGTCCCAGCATCAACAGCTGGATCCCTTCCCAGTCCAGCAACTAGTGCTATTGGCCCGCTTGAAACAGGAAGGAGGCTGGCTTACTTTTTTTCCAGACTGTCCATGTATTCTTTCTTTTTTCTTCTACTTTCCTGGGCAGAGATCTAAGGAAAAAAGAAGAAAAACACCAAATATTTGCATAGAAAAAAAAAGCATCAGAGATGAATTAATAAACTGGTAAAAAGCCCTGACGTTATTAGATTCAAGCCTCTGTACTGCTCTCATTTCTATTTCTGGCAAGCAAAGCTCTGACTTGGTCTGTTTCCACATCCTGAAGCAAGACTGCTCCTCTCAGTAGTAGGAAAAAGATCATTCCTTGCTCTTACAGAACTAACCTTAAAAAGTAAATCAGATTCATCTGGAGAGAATATCCTAGGACAAATACTAAAAGATGATCCCAGGACAATGCCCTGCATCTGGGAAAGGAAAAGCCCATGCATGCATTAGAAAGCAGCTTTGTAGAAAGACCTGGGGGTCCTGATGAACACGTCAAACATAAGTCAGCCATGTGCCCCTGTAGCAAAGGTGGCCAAACAGATCCGGGTCTACATGAACAAGATTGTAGCTAGCAGGGCAAGAGAAGTGGTTCTTCCCCTCTATTCAGCGCCTGCAAGACCACAGTTGAGTACAGCATACAGTTTGTGACTCTGAAATAAATACTGTGGATGTATAGAAGCAAGTCCAGAGGAGGGCCACTGCTATAATAAGCGTGCTGGAACACATGACATATCAGGAAAGGCAGAGAAAGACAGGCTTGTTCAGATTTAAGAAGAGAAAGCTAAGGAGGAAATCCTATTGCTGTCTTCAACTATCTTATGTAGCAAAGATGTCAGAGTCTTTTCAGAGGCATACAGCTAAATGGCAAGAGGCATCAAATACAAGTTGCAACAAGGGAAATTCCCATTAGATGCTAAGAATTCTATTTATTTGTTTTTACCACAAGAGTGGCCTAATAGGGGAGCAGGTTGCCCAGCAATGCTAGGGACTCTTCACCCTTTGAGACAGTAAAATGTGACTGGACAAGTCCCTGAGCAACTTGATCTAAGCTGACCCTGCTTTCAAAGCAAGGACTTGGACCAAAGGACCGCCAGAGACTCCTGCCAATATAAATGACTCTGATTATATGAAAATGTTACATAAAATGCACAAGGTCACTTTCAAAAATTTTGAAAAAAATATATTACAAGACCAAATTCCAATTCAGCGTAGGCAAATTTACACCTCTATCTGCAAAACCAATAACAGAATGCATTAACCTTCAAATATGTGCTAATATCCTTTAGAACAAGTGAGCTGGCCAGGTCTGGAAAAAAAAAACGCTTTCCTCCCTATCACGCCACAATAGAAGAAAGAAAAGACTTGTAGGGCATTTCACAGCCTTGGTATCAACCATTCCTTGAAAGGTCATGCAATTCAGTGATCAAAAAACTACGGCACTGAAATACACAGTCAGATTTTAAAACATGAAACAGTGGAAAAGAACACCTTCATCACCATGGAAAGAACACAGAGGTCTTTGCCTACCACAAGGGTAGGATTGTACTGATTTTAAAATGGAGCCAAGCGATAGCAACTTGATACCCTGCTTGCTAAATACTCTATTGTTCATGTGTTCAGATAAATACCTAGACATAGGTACACTGTCACAGTGACAGACAATTTGATGGATGTGTTTAGGAACAAAGAAAAACACTTTGTTAAAAGACATCTTACAGCATTCCACAGTACCACAGACCATTACTGCAGAATTGTTGCAGTATTTTTTTAAATGAAGGATGAGTAGGAATTACCCAGCAAAGCTAACCAACGTTTACCTTGTTCTTTATTTTCCTGCGGATTTTCTTCAACACTTTCTCCTCTGCTTTTGTCAGGGGCAGTTTGGTAGGGATTGGGTACCCCTCTGCTATCAGCGTCCTCTTCTCCTCCTCTGTCAGGATGAGTGGGCCAGTCCCCTGTAATTTCTGCAAGTGTCATAGAAATGAAACAACGTTAACACTAAGTGCACATAGCCCTAGAGAAAAGGGTGTTAGGGAAGAGAGGCAGCAGCTCTCCCACTTCAGAGAGGACTCTGCCTACTAACACAACAGCCTCTTGCAATTGGCAATGCATGGAAGGGGAAGACCTTTTAGATAGCTTCCATTCAGAGACTAAACATTTGGGACGGGATTCCCTCAAAACAGTTGTTCTTGGCCCAGCTCTGCACGTACTGAGGCCAACAGTAAAACTTCCCTCAGCTCAAACAGGGAAAGA